TCATAAATGTAAAAATTACTACGTTATAAAATAAATATTTCTTTAAATTTATTTAAAAAATAATAATTTTATAAGCCAGAATAAAAAATAATAAGTTTATAAGCCAGAATGCATATATAAGTACGGAGATACAGCTACTGCGAGGTTTCTACTTTATCTATCAATGTCAGATTCATCGTGTACGTTAATATAAAATTCGTCAAATATGTTCTGCTTTGTAACGTCTAAACTCATGGCCCAAATAATCGATGCGTCCGTATCCACTGTCACCACAGTTTTCTCGCACAATATAGATTTTGCTTCTCCTAATTCAGTTGCAGACACGTTAGCTGAAACATGAGAAAACAAACATTAGAATAAGAAAAATTATACTTATTATGTTTTAATATTGTTGAGCCCGCGCTTTCAGAGACAGAGATCGTTTCGAGAGTTATTTGAGAGCGAGGCGTCAAGTTCTAGTGAATCTTGAACAATTGAATTCGTCCCTCACGAGCCTTCGAGCTGGGCTGACGTTCGACAAGTCGGACCGTAAGATTTTAAAAAATCTTGTTTACGCTAGAGTTTGTAAATAACTCAATTAAACGATTATTTACTTTTTTAAGAAAGTGTATATTATTTGCCTACTGACGTGAGTACGCGAACGAGCGCAACAATATAGTGAAAGACGTATTATTAATGAGTCTTAAAGGATAGCAACCTTTGACTTTGAGAGACTGACAGCTGTACCATTTGATACAGTAACATTGTTTTTCTCTGTAGTCACCGTGCGCTCGGGATCGTGCCAGAGATGTCGCTTCCGAACGGCATCTCTGAGCGTTATCTAGGAAGAGGAGAGTGTCGTGAGCATGGAGTGTCAGGTAGCTCAGTGGTTTAGAGCAGTCGCCCGGCAAGCGAAAGACCCGGGTTCGAGTCCCCCGGCCTAGCAGGACCGCGCTCTCGATATTTTTCTCTTTCTGGAACGAAAAAGATACGCAGATCTCGAACGCACGGCGTCCCGCCGCCACCTAGTATGCCCTCCTCCTTCTCCTTAAGTTTAAAGATGGGACAAATTAAAAATGCGATACATACTGAAATTGGTCTGCAATCCGGTTGTTGTGAGATTATTTACTACGCAAAAGTTAAATGCTAGAAAACTACACATTGGTGTGTTTTCCATTTTTTCGTCCTGTGCGACACGTATCTTGTGCGCACCACGACGTAACATCCAGCAAAAATAAGAATTTGAACCTATTACGAGGGCTGCTCCGTAAGTTTTGCGACTTGGCAACACTGGCGTTGCTAGGTAAAATCTAACCTTACCATCAAAAAGTTTGACAGTTTGGAAGATTTTTTTTCGAAACGTTTTGTCGTACGGAGGCTACTTGTATTATTTACAGTGACTTGAAAATGGTGTCTCAGCGAAAAAATGGAATTAACACGAGAACATTTTCGTGCGATGATTTTTTACGACTTTCGACGTGGATTATCGAGACAAGAATGCATCGATCAACTTGCTTCCACTTTTGGCAATGAAGCACTACACAAGGCCACTATTTGTCGCTGGTTTAATGAATTCAATCGTGGTCGTAGTTCGCTCACCGACGAACCTCGCGAAGGTCGTCCAAAATCAGCTGCTGTGCTAGAAAACATCGATGCTGTGCGTGAATTGATAATGCAAGATCGACATGTGACATACCGTGAGATTCAGGCATCCCTGGGT